CCTTGACTCAATCACCATTTCCTTATCAAGGGCCATGTCATTTCCTTTGTTGAGTGAGGCCTAGATTGCTAAACCTTTCACTTTGTAATTGTACATCTTCATCAGCCTTCTCTAATTGGCTTCTTTATCTAGCTGCTTCCTACCGACCTGGCTGCCTGATCTTACCCATATGCCTTTCCTCATTGATTTAACCTTGATCGAATCTGAGAATCCTCAAATGTGACTCTAGGTATGCTGCTTCCACTTGTTCAACACTTGTCTTCAATCCTGGTTCCACTCCCTATGATTGAAATGATCACCTGTCAGACGTTCCTTAGTTTGCAGGCTTCTATCCTGTGAAAATGTCACAATGCCATTCAGCTATTACAGATAATGAAACAGTTACTTTGTATCAGTTGTGAATAATGAGGTGTTTTCCTCTCATTTGGACATTAAGCCCGTTTCATAAATGGGTTTTGAGATTTCACAGCAGAAAGCCCATCACAGCAGAAAGCCCAAAGTCAATATATAGTTGATAGGAGAGAGCATTCACATTAGATTTCTTTATCTGTTTAACACAAAGCCTTAGGTTACTACCCCCCCCGCCCCCCGCCCCGGCCTCCTGAAATTGTTGCCCAATTTACTTATGTGTCCTTTTATACTTTGGCAAGTATATGTAGTTTCTGGTTGTTTTCTTGTTCACCTTTTATAAACACAGAAAAAAAGAACGTCTTAAAAATAAAATCAAGGAAAGGCCTAAGGCGTCTGAGAGTTTTTTTCACTAGCATGAAGGAAAACAGTTGTCAACAATCCCTGTGGCAAGGTCCTCCAAGATGACAACTCTCTTAACCAGTCGGGGGCTCAGGGCGCTCCTGAAGCTTCCTGATTGCCCAGAACAGCCCCACTCGGACTCCCCATTAGCCTTCCCCGCAACACTCAACATCTAAAAGTTTATCTTCATTTCTCTTTCCCAGCAGGCAGCTTCAGTTGGAGAAAGTAGTTTCATTTTCTTATCTACTCATTCATTCATTCAATCCATAGGCCTGTGCTTGGTTTTAGGAATGAGGAAAGAATAAAATATGGTTCCTTCAAGCACTTAAGGAACTGATAAACTAGTGATAGAGCCAGTTGCACCAACAAATCAATAAAGAATTAGTAATACTTTGACTTTATTGGAATTATTTGAACTTTTATGAATATATTAATATGCTACACCCCACTTAAAATTGAAAGAGACATTTAAGAAAGAACTAGAGGATATAAGAAATTCATTGTAGTGTGTAAGTTATTTAGAGAGTTAACACTGGAGGTATTAGAATTCTCAAAGAAGCTTATTAAGGTAGATGAACCTCTAATTGTTTTATTTACTTATAAAGTTTACAGAAGTATGTATATTCCTTCTTCTAACAGGGGTTAGTAACTTGGGGAGCGGAGGCTGCTGCAGACTCAGGTCCTTCTCAGGCCCAGCTTATCTGCTCTTCAGGTCATATTCTCAAACAGGAGCTATGCGATGGGACAGCAAAAACAATTTACTTCTTTGCTTACCTAACAACCCCCTGATGTGCTTCTGGAGGGTTTCCTTAGTTGCTTTCATCATCACTTTCACCACCAGAGATCAGGGAAACCTTCTGATTAATCAAGGGCCCTGGAAATGTAGGGTTTATGACAAGCTCATTTCTGAAGATGTTTCCAGTTTGATCTTCACACCCTCTCCATGAAATAGGTATTGAGAAATCTCAGGCATATCCAAAATAAGCCTCTGTGGCAGGTTATGATATTTTCAGGTCTATTTCTTTTGTCTTTAGGTTCGTCTTGGCACCAAACATAAGGCGGTTCAACATCAGGCCCTTGCCCTAAACAGCTCCCAGTGCCAAGAATTGGCAAATTATTACTTTGGTTTCAATGGATGGTCAAAAAGGATCATCAAGGTAAACTTTATAGGTTTTCTTTGACTAATTAGTTATTCCAACTTTGAAATCCTGGATTTTAGAGAGGAGGGAACTGGGTTGTGGGGAGGAGATGTGAGAGGCCTCTAAGTGGAGGTACCTTAATCTGCCACCTAGAATGAACAATAATTGCAATAACTTGGGTGGTGGTGTCCATAATTTTCTCCAGTATTTGTATGGGATATAGTAAAAACCAGCTGTCTTTATCTAGTAATCCATTTGCAAGTCTTAGCAGATGTTGAAGCTATAGGATACCTCCACTGTGGGCTGGGATTGCTGGAGTTTAGTTTTCATTTCTAATAACAAAACATCTTGAAGCTTACATTGAGATCCGAGTAAGGACCTTTCTCTTAAAATCCTAACAGCTTCAGGATCTTTCTGACCTTGAAGAAGGGGCGAAGGAAGATACTGCAGCACCACTTCAGAAACAGAGGCTGAAATTCTTCTGTGCTTTAGAGGTGGTGTTGCCATCCTACGGGTGCCGGAGTCCCGGAGCTGGCATGGCTGAGGAGCCTTTGGATAACCTGGAGGAAGGTCTGTTTACAGTGGGGGTCAGGAGGGGTGGGGAAGAGGAGGTGGAATCTCTCTTTCTAAAAACTTGTCTTTTCAGATACATCATCCAGCCCTTCTCTTGCTAAGCAACTAAAGCCCTAAGCAGAGTGTTTCTGGCCTACAGCATAGGCTTTTATCTTAGGCAATACCTGAAAGAAGCTTTAACTTGAAAATCCTAAGGCTGACTTTTCTGCCAAGAAGTTTAGGAGGAGGGAAGTAATGTTTTTCCAATTTTTGGTTAAGAATTTGCCTCGTGCTGGGGCGCCTGGGTGGCTTAGTCGGTTAAGCGTCCGACTTTCGCTTAGGTCATGATCTGGCGGTTTGTGGGTTCGAGCCCCGCGTCGGGCTCTGTGCTGACTGCCAGCTCAGAGCCTGGAGCCTGTTTCAGAGTCTGTGATTCCCTCTCTCTCTGACCCTCCCCTGTTCACGCTGTCTCTCTCACTCTCCTAGAAATAAATAAAACATTAAAAAAAAAAAAAAAGAATTTGCCTTGTGCTAAAATAGTCCTTCAAATACAGATCTCTTGCAGCCTGCAGTCATCCCAGCAAAGTCATCATCTAAAGATTTAAATAAACTCTTGTGTAAATGTTGAGTCCTTTGCCTCCTATAAAAGGGCTGGAGTCTAAAGAGTCAAATCCAGATTCCTAGAAAAGGTATTCCAATTGGTACTGTGTTTTTTCCCAGTGTCCACAGCACTTAGGCTTAGGGTTTTAAGGGAGGGGCAGGGCTGTTAGTAAATGGGGTGGAGTAGGCTCCCTGGGGTGGTGCCCAGGAAGAGATGGGGGTGGGGGGCAGAGGGAGAAGGGGGGTCACATGCACTACCACCAGACCTTCTCCCTGTGTGACTCCAGCCCTTGACCCACAGGAGGGTAGGGTCTGTAGGAGTCTAGTTTCAGCCTCTCAGTTTGCAATCTGTGAGTGATGTGACACCTGTGCCACTGTCCGAGCTTGCATCTCCCTTGTGGCACTTCTGAAATAGATCAGGGCAGTAACAGTGTGCCCTGTCAGGACGTGCCCACAGCAGAGCTGTTCAGCCTTGTGTTGTGCCTGCCCTTAGTTGCTAAGGTAATGAACTAAGAATCATGGATGTATTTTCACTTTAAAACATTTAACACTCAAATCAGTTATCATTCAGATAGGCATTTTTCAATCCATTTGTTTTGGTTGGATTTAGGGCCATTATCATTTCTTAAGAAAAGGAAGACCACCCAGAAGCTTGCTATTCAGAGGGCTATGTCAGACGCATTCCAGAAACTGTTGATCGTGATTTTAGGTAAGACATCTTTGATTGTCCTTACGGTACGTCAGTTTCAGTGAGCAAATACACTCATTGTGAAAAGTAAGTTGGATGAAAACACTTCATATTCTTTTACTCACCAAATGCTTTCAGAGCAGTAGTCTCAAATATGTTCTTTGTGGCATTTGTGAGAAATGCAAATATTTCTGTCCCCAGTGTATAGATATATAGTGACTTGCCTCTGTCCACACAAAAAGTGTTTGACTCGGTCTTCTTTCTTGATTGTTTGCTCATAATACACAATAGTATGGTGATTATAAGCTTTGGGGGCGCCTGGGTGGCTCAATCCATTAAGCATTCAACTATTGATTTCAGCTCAGGTCATGATCTCACGGTTTGTGAGATTGAGCCCCAAGTCGGGCTCTGTGCTGACAGCGTGGAGCCTGGTTGGGATTCTCTCTCTCCCCCTCTCTCTCTGCCTTTCCCCTGCTCCCTTATGCCCACATGCTCTCCCTCTCTCAAATAATTAAAAAAATAATAAACTTTTAAGCTTTGGACATCTAGTGTTGAATCTTAACTCTGTCTCCTAGATTTCCTATCTAATTTTAGGTTTTATAGTAAGATTTGAAGTATTTTATCTTTCTAAGCTGCCATTTCTTTATCTGCAAAGTAAACATAATAATTCAACTTACCTCATGGGAGATGAACTGTAAGAGCAAATGAGATGATGAAAAAGTTTAGAACTATCCCTGAAACAGGAACACAGTAAGCAGAGAAAATATGTTAACTTGTTATCATCATTGTTATCCTGTTGGAGAATTCATTAGATTGTGTTTTTGGAATCAGGTCAGCTTCAGTTTTTGTTTCTAGAAATGACACGTTGGGTGAATATGATTCTTAGATCAGGATCAGCTACATTTTTGTGAATCTCGAAAGCGGTCATGCTGTTGAATAGCATTGTGTTCCCTATTGAGTTCTACAATGTGTGTGAATGTTACAGGCTGTGCTGAAAGGAAATTTTATAATTAGTAGAGAGTCCCCAAACAATTGCTCCCCTGCTTCATAGTCCTGCAGGCTTAGAGACTAAGAAATCCTAGCTAAGTTTCAGAGGCCTTAGTTGCCTGTGAGAGTTGACCCTGGATTGGTCTCAGGCTTCCAGCCTGGGCAGCTCTTCCAGTGAAGGTTGACTTCCCTGGTCATCAGGTAGAATCTCCATTAGCTGTCAGTTCTGAGTAACAACCTTTAAGAACCAAACTAAACCTTTGGGTTGTTGACCTCTCTGATACATGCTGTAGTATCCCTTGTACACACTCGGCATCTTGTAACTGTAGTTTGGCTTAAGGGGAATTGCATTGTCTATAAGGGACACGGACCAGGTTCTGCCAATAAACTGTTCAAGCGCATTCCCTCCTTCCCTCCCTCCCTCTCTGTCTCTCTCTCTCTCACACACACACTCTCTCTTTCTCTCTCTCTCTCTTCCTCCTTCCATCTCTCTCTCTCTCACCTGCATTGTTCATTGTATCTGGTGGGATTTTGTTTCCAGGGCATAGAAACTTGCCTTGTTTCTAATATGAATATCAGGTGTCAGCTATAGTCCAGTGGTCTTTATTCCAGGTTTGAACTCACATTGACCTCTACCTAATCCCTTACTGTTTAGTTACATGGTTTTGAACATTTTTGTTTCCATAGTTTTAACTTCCTGTGTCATTATTCCTTAGTTCCTATCTCTAAGATCATAGTGTTTTTTGAACCACATAGTCGTTAACTTCATATATATTTTTTCTCAATAGTTACGATAAAAACTAAAGTATGAGATGAGAAAACTACTAGGAAAATGCTTTTATTTTCTTTTAGAAATAAAAAGAATGTCTAATCATCGTGTACAAGTTTTAGAACGAGAAAAATTCTGAAATGATCCTCATTGACTTTATTTTTTAAATGTTTATTTCTGAGAGAGAGAGAGGGAGAGTGAACAGCGGAGGGGCAGAGAGAGGGAGACAGAGGATCCAAAGCAGGCTCTGTCCTGACAGCAGAGAGCCCAGTGTGGAACTTGAATTCACGAATCATGAGATCATGACCTAAGCTGAAGTCAGATGCTTAACTGACTGAGTCACTCAGGTGCCTCTTTTTTTCTTTTCTTTTCTTTTCTTTCTTCTTTCTTTTCTTTTTTTTCTTTTTTTTTTTTTTTTTTTGGTCAATCCTTGTTCACTTTATTTCAGAAAGTGGTAAAATAGCTGTGGAATACAGACCCTGTGAAGAGATCACAGATGCCAGTATCGAACACGAGCTACAGGTATCTATTCAAGTATGTGGAGATTAAAGCTCAAGGCTTACATAGCCACTGTAGCCATAATTTAAAGCAAGCAGCAGAAGTTGAAAGACTTTGGCATTAGCACTATGGTCCTTTGAGAAGTGTGAAACTAGGAAACTGCTTTTGATGGTAGGCAATTTCTGGGGCTTTTCCTGAAGTCCTGGCCCTTGGCTCTGACCCCTTGTTTGAGATTTAGAGAGTGCTCCCATCGTTGTGGACATAGGAGAGGACACAAGCCTTTTAGAGCTCCTCTCAAACAGAATCTCAAGGATTTGGGAACAGAGTAACTATGGCCTTAAATATGATTATACCACAGTGTTTGAAACCATTGTGCCACTCAAATAGGATGTATCACCCAGATGTTGTCATCTCTCATATATCTTGCATGATATCTTGCTGAAGAACTTTTCTATAAATCACTCACCTGGATGCCCTGAATTAGGGATTAAGTTACCAAAGTAATTTTTAAAAGAAAATACTAATGTACCACATACAGAATGTTTAAAAACAAACAAAAAAGGACCAAAGAATGTGTTGCATGTCATTGAGAACTTTATTTGGGGCTAGATTTGTGAAGTTTTGTTTTTGGATTTTTTTATAATGTTTTTTTATTTTTGAGAGTGAGAGAGACAGAGCGTGAGCAGGGGAGGGGCAGAGAGAGAGAGGGAGACATAGAAGCGGAAGCAGGCTCCAAGCTCAGAGCTGTCAGCAGTGTGCCCAATGCGGGGCTCAACCCCATGAACTGTGAGATCATGACCTAAGCCAAAGTCAGATGCTCAGCTGACTGAGCCACCCAGGCACCTCTAGATTTCGGAATATTTAATTTACCTTACAGTTGCAAAGTTCGTTTTGAAGGGAAGAGGGTGGAGAAAGAAAAGATGGTTACTTTCTGGAAAAGCACTGGAAGTCCTCGCCCCCCCCAGCCGGTGCAAAATAGTTACTTTAATTTAATTTAAATCAAGCCAGTCAAGGAAACTTCAGACTTATCCAAGTTCAGCTTTAAGAAGTCTAGCTTCCTGGGGTGCCTGGGTGGCCCATGGGTCGAGCATCCGTCTCTTGATTTGGGCTCAGGTCATGATCCTAGAGTTTGTGGGGTCAGCCCCATGTCGGGCTCTGTGCTGAGCCTGGAGCCTGCTTGGGATTCTCTCTGTCTCTCCCTCTGTCCCTCTTCTCCACTCATGCTTCTCTCTCTCTAAAAAAATTTTTTTAATTAAAAAAAAAAGTAGCTTCCTGCAAAATATGAAAGATGAGGGAAAGAGATTCAGCACTGATGCTGACGATTTCAGAAACCTGATTATAACAACAGATCCATTCCTACATAAGGCCAGTCTTGGAATCAGTTCCGTTTCAAAACCATTCTTGTGGGCTAGACCCTGGGATTAAGATAAAAAGCCCCTCTCTCTTGCAGTTTACATGCTAGAGGTTGTGCCAGACCATAAACAAGGACTAAAAATACATTATAAAAAGGGCTGTGAAGGAAGTAAACTGAGTTGCTAGTTACAGTATTTCAGGAAAATTGTTTAACATGCTGACTTTAACATGCTAAGTGCCTTCTCCATGTGGGCACACAGGGTGGACCTCTGAAAAGGGGCCTTGTTACTCTTTCTAGATCAACAGCTATGTCCAGGTAAGATGGAATGGAGGAAGTTTTCCCACCCAATGTAAATAAAGGGATAGAATTGGTTTCAGGCCCTCTTTCCCAGAATGAATTGCTCAGCAGCCCCTTAGAACCCCTCCTAGAGACATTTTGGAGCCATCACAGATTCAGTGGTAGCCCCCATCTGTCAGAGTGGTGAATTAATAATCAGATGTGGGTATTGAGAATTTAGAGGAAATGGCAACATTTTAGAATATCTAACTGTAACTGCGTTCCCCTCCCCATCGCCCTAACTGGTGCTTATTTTGCAGGTCAGCTACTTTTCTTGGAAGCAGTATGGCCAGGGGGAGGAAGAATATCTTTCGGATTTAAGCTTTGAAGAACAAGAATTCAAATTGCGAGAGCTGGACTAGCATTTATTAATTTCCCAGGATGCCAAGTCCCGTAGCTTCCTTGGGAGCTCAGCCCCTCTCTCCCACCTATCAGCCCGCCAGAGTTGCTGGAGTCCGGGGACACTCAGATATGAGTCTAAATCCTGCCTTGCTGTGAGCAGCCCCGGGGCGGGGGCGGTGGTGAACTTTACAGGGGGAAGGGAGTCCTGGGCCCCAGTGATTCTGGAAAAAGGGCTCGATCCGGTGGTGTGGAGCCCATCTCCAAGGAGCTAATAAAGGTGGCGTAAATCAAGATGTCATAAATAAAGGGTGGGACGTAGGCGGGGGAGGGGCGCGCAGTTGCTAACAGTGAGCGCATCACGGGACTGCCATAATGCTCCGGCTCCCGTTGAGGGCGTGGCGCCAGCGCCCCACTGGCCTGGGCTGCTGCGCCCTAGAGCCTCCGCATGGCATGTCCCCGCTGTGCCTCTGTGCCGCACTGCTTCCCTTTATGTGGCAATCATTGTGGCTGCTGACCTGGCAGCCCAGCCTCCGGAGTGGGCCCTGAACCCTGCGCAGCTGACCTCCGAACCCCTGAAGCTTACGAGCCCTGGTCTTCGCACTCCTCTGATCTCCCACCCGAATCGCCCCAGGCACTTACACCCCCGGCTGAGCCGGGGCGCTTTATTTACCTGGGGCCCTCTGCTCCAGCCCAGATGTTGGCCCCGCCCATGGAGTTGACAAACTTTGATTCCGTTCCTGGACACGGATTCAGTTGGAGAACTGCCCCCAAGGCCAGATCAAGATTTGAATGACCAGCTAACGCAGCATCAAAGGCTCCCAGAGATGGTTCCTCAGACCACAGCTCCACCTCTTCAACTCAAAAGTAAGATTAAAACTGTAGGTTTAGATCAGGCCGAAGATCACCAATCATTCGAAATCCTTGTTCCATCTCTGGATCGTCAGAGTTCAAAGCCAACGAAGTTTATTGTTTCACCCCTAAACCTGAAGAAAGATCTAGCTCAGCATCAAAGACTTGCCAAAGTTGCTGTTGGAACTCCAAACCAATTTGCAAATAAAAAACACCTAGCACAACAGTTGGATGATTATTTACATTCCAAACTGGATATATATCCTGAGAAGAAT